AACACATCTTAGGATTTTACGACATTTATGATATCTAATGATGTTTTGGTGGAATTTCAGTTGTTGTATTCCCACTGTTAACTTCATTCTCTGAGGTCTGCCTCCTCTTGAATCACAGCCAAAACATTGTGTGCAAAATTAAGGATGTTGATCTGTCTTTTTTAAAATCTGCTTTTAGGAACAGACATTAGATGTAGTCTATATCTTTTTTTTTTTTCTTTGTTTGAATTACTTCCATTCTCCTAAACTTGCATGGGACTCCTTTATGTCTTACCTTCCTTCCTATCTTCCAAATGGGCACTCGAGCTCTCTGCTGAGCAAGTTGTCACTCTTGCCACTTCAGATGTCATCCACTTGAGAGCCTGCAAGTTGGTGGCATCCTCCATAGCATAGACACTTCTGGATACCTGTTTACTATTCTGGATAACTTGATTTCTAAAAACAAAAACTGTTAAGTGTAGGTATATTTTTTTGCATTAATTCTTTTCTCCTTTTATATAAGCAGCTGAATGGCCAAAATATCTGTTTTTGGTTACATTTTCTGACCTTACCTTATGTTAGCATAAATCATCTGATACTCTCTAAAGGGATACCCTCCTGAGCGTGAGCTCTGTGTATAATCACTGCACTGTATTTGCTTCACACGTTAAAAGCTGCTTGTGGAGAACAAAAACCCTCAGTCTCTTTTCTTTCTTGATACTAATAGGAAAGCAGAAGGAAATTATTTATAAAAAAAAAAATCAACAAAATTTCTAGTATAAATAGTATGTAGGTCATGCATTAAATTAGGTCCAACATCCTAAGTGTTTCTCTTATCAAAATACATTAAGGGCCAAATATTAACCTTGTTTTTTCTTATTCTGTCATGTTTTCCACTCAGCGATGTGTCCCTTTTTCTGGTTTCCATTAGTTCCCTTTGACCAACTTGGATCATACTGTGGAACAAGCTCTTTCTTTCTTGTGTTACACAGTATTGTTTCTTTGGTATTTGAGTATCCATCTGAAATACTTGTGTTGAGTACCACGTATGGTGTTTTCAGAAGAACTGCCAAATTACACATACTTGCTCCTTAAGAATATTTTGAGTCCAAACAGTAGATGTTTAGAGTTTGGCACTCAGTCTATTCAGTAGATGTTATGTTTGCTGTGAAATTAATTAGCTAAAATAGAATGAGTTGTGTAAATAGCAATGCTGTCCATGTGCCAGTTACGTGTTAATATAAATGAAGGATGATGGTCTTGCTTTGTAAGAACAGAGCACAGATTTTAACACTGTTTCCTAACCTCCCTTAGTGTTTTCCGTGTGCTGGTCCTGAGCATAGCAATTGTAGGAGCTGGAGTAGCAATGGCAAGATTTTATCCAAATATAGGAGGTATCATAAGGTAAGTTTCTGCATCTTTACCCCTTTGTGTTGAAAAGGGGCTATTAAGGGAATGGGTAATTGTATCTTAATATTTTGTGGGGCATATGCTTGTATAAGTTGCAAATAATGATTTAAAATTCAAACGCTCAGCTCTTTTAAAGAGGATAAATAGCTGTTTAATTGTGGTTTTGTATCTGAGCTGATTGGAGTGATTCCTTAAGCCTTATATAGCGTCATGATAGAAGTTGTCCAGGTACCTTGTAGTTTCTTTCATTTTTTATTTTAATGCCTTTTGAGGTTAATTTGAAAGTCCATGATTAAAATCTAAGCAAGCAAAGTATTCAAAAGGGAAAGCTGACATAAAAATTGCCTTAAATTTACCCACATTTATAAACATGCATATCTTCTATAATTGAGAAACACTGGAGGAAATTATCCAATCAGTTTTCTACATTTGACATCGCTATGTATATAATCATTTTCATTTATTGCTAGCTTACATCTTACCTACAGCAACCAGGAGAGGGAGGCATTTAAAATATAGAAATCTGCAATTATAAAACTTCAGGAACAGCATGTAGTGTAGCAAACTAATTTACTTTGCTCAATAGCTTTTTCTCCATTTCTTCTTTCATTGCTGTTGCTATTTTAGTGAAAACTTTCTTATTTGCAATTAATAACCAGATTCTCTCTATTAAGGAAATAAGTGATATACAATGCATTTTTCTGCTTGCAAAATGATCCTGTCCTCTGCTAATTTCTTCATTGTGCATCATAATCAAACATTTTGAACAGTGAATTTTTAACTGATGAACTGGCTATACAGAATCTAGCTTAGATATTTGCCTTTCCTGCTGTGCATGTGGTTACTGGCTATTGTAACGCTTCCACCGTCTGAAGACGCGGTTCAAGGTTTTGAACTCACCGCTGTGTTAGTAATGCACACGCGCTGCTAGTCAATAATACACGTTTGGCTGCAGGAGAGCTTCATAGGGGGAAACGTATCACGGTTTTGGTAAGGGCTAAGAGGAGCAGAAGGGAGGGCTAATAAGAGCAGCTGAATGGCTTTGGTTGATCGCATTACCAGGAGGGGGATGTTGAGATATATATAAATATATATATATATGTGTGTATATATACATATATATTTCTTTTAGGATCTGGAAAATGGTTTGTTAGGAGTCCTGACAGTAAAGGATGCACTGTCCAGTCTTTTTGTGCTGTGTGTGGACAGATTTCCCAAAGGAAATTAAAAACATAGTCTGAGGTAGGGAGGCAGTCCCCAGAAACATCTGAGAATGTGACTGAAACATCAGAAGAGGAGCAGAGCGAAGCTGCTCGGGAGACGGGGGAGCTAAATGTCAGTGAAGGGGCTGGAGGACAGCTAAGAGCGGGAATCAGTGTTCAGTGTCTGCAAACAAGAATTTTTTTTTTTTTTTTTTTTTTTTTTTTTTCAGTAAAACTGTTCATGATTTGAAGGAGGAAGAAAAATCAACAACAAAAAAAAGTTAACACAAAGTGTTCTTTATTTTTCCCCCTCTCTTCTTTTTCTTTTCTTCCCCCTCCTTCCCAGATACTCGGGAGCAACATGTGGTCTGGCCTTTGTGTTTGTGTATCCATCCCTCATCTACATGATCTCCCTGCACCGTGCTGGGCAGCTGACGTGGCCAGCATTGATCATTCACATCTTTATAATCCTCCTTGGACTGGCTAATCTGATTGCACAATTCCTATTGTGAAAACTCCCCCCTCTCCCCATGGCTGCCACCAGTGGTACTGGGACATTTGGCAACAGCCTTGAGCAACACTATTCCCCAGGAGAACTTAGTAGTCCTCAATGTGAACTTGCTGAGAAGAGCTGCGCCTCCGAACGGATTCACATCCCAGCTTCCAGGCATCTGCGAGGAAACCTGCTTGATCCTCTGTAAACATGGTTTGTGAGAAGTGAAATAGTTCCCACTGGAGTGGGGTAGTTCCACTGTTTTTATTGAACATACATCAAGTATTAATTAAACCAAATATTTTAATTTCCTACAGCCCACATCTCAAAACACTGAGCTTTCAGCCTGGGGCTGTAGAGCTTCTCTTTCTCTAAAGAAGTGTTCTTACCTTTATTAACAAGCCTGCTTTCACAGTGTTATTCAGCGACTGTTTGAAGTCTTCTTTGTTGCATTTTCCCTGTTTCCTTTGGAAAATGAAAAAAAAAGTTATGTTTTTTCAGTTAATTTATAATCATTTGGGTCAAAATGCACTCTTCATTTTGAATATGCTTCTAATTTTTTGGCAATATGTTTCCTCTAGAAGATTCCAAATAAGAGAAACAATAAACTGATGCCTCTGTTTTATTCAGAACCAGTATGTGCACAAGTTATTTGTGAGCTTACAATGAACAAAATCAAAAAAGCATCCAGAAATTTAAACCAGATAGCAGCTCAATTCAAACTGCAGCTCCGGGCTTGACCTAACTTCAGCCTAGGAACTGGGCTGTGAGGCGCTGGGAGGTCTCGTCAGGAGCTGAATGTGCTTTTGGTGGGGGGAGAGGGGGGTGTTAGACCTTCACAGGCTTTCTATTAAAAAATGTCAGCAAATGTAAAACAATTGCAAGAAGACTCAAAGCAACACTCCAAAATGAGCAAAATGAGCAAAAGAGGAAGAATGAAGTGGAAGTGATCCAATGTTTGCAAAGTCAGAGCTGAGCTGGGAAAGCAGATTAAATGTCAGGGTAAGAATTTTTACTTTTTATTTTTTATCTGAAAGTGAAAATTGACTATTTTTCTCTGGGCAATAATATGAAATTTTATACTAATTTTGTAGTCCTGTTTGAGTAAGCTCCTTAAATTGTGCAGGCGCTGGCTTTCTCAAATGTTTTTGTTTTGCCTAAAATACAAGAGCAAATGCATCTGGAATAGTATCTGCAGAATAGAATAATTATTTCAGATCCTCTCTTTTGTCTTATGCCTTTAAAAGCAGAACTGGAGAATCCACCCAGCATCTGTTTTGTATTACAGGGACACATGTGCCCCCATCCTTGTCATTTTGCCTGTGCGCTCTTATCTCCCACTGCTTGGTTTCCTTCTGCTCAAAGGCATCTCTGTCCACCCTCTTCCCTACCTCAGAGTGAGCATATCCTGCAGTGTGGAGCCATCAGCTCTCTGGGGCTGGCCCTAACCTTTCCCAGGAAGTGTGAGCAAAGCATCTTAATCAAATGTCTAGGTAGTCATCCCTATGTGCAGCATGTCTGCATTCCTTCAGCATTCTCAATGACATGTTCCAGAAATTACCCTCTGGATTCTTTAAAAAAAATCCCTTTTTTGAGAAACTTGGATCATTCCACAGCTGTAGTGTTGCTAAACCTCAACAGCTGTTTGATATACAGTAAGAGTAATTGAATACCAGACTAAAAGGGCAAAAGTCAGATTTCAAGAATCATTGGTTTGATTCACATTAAGCTAAACTGGAGTTCTTTTATACACTTCCTTGTTTACAGGTCCAATGCTTAATTTAGGAACAAAAGCTGATGTCTGCAGGTGCTTCAATTTTTTGTCCTACATTCCATCTGGATTTGATCCCTTGAGTGTTCATGCTATGCAAATTGACAGTAAAATGCCTGTTGATTTCAGTATAGTTAACTTTTGATAGGATCTAGTAGTACAACAGAGATTCCTAAATAAGAACAAAGTTCATGGTGAGGTGTCTTGCATCTTCTGTTTGTCTCTCTTCCAGTTGTGCAACATAAAATGATACTGAGTTAATATTTAGAAGCAAAATACTCTGTGCATTTTTAAAGGCCTGTGTAAGATCTGGGTTACAAAGGTTTTTTTGTTTGTTTGTTTTTTTGTTGTATTTATATAGCCTTTTAACAGCTTTGATTTGAGTTATAAACTGATAAGGTTAAAGTGATAGCACATATTTCATTACATTTTCATCACCTAAAGTACATATACTTATGTGAAAACTGGGGGGTTTTTGTTTTGGTTTTTCATTTTACTGCATGCTATTGGGATACTCACAAGTGCCTGAACAACTTGCACACATGTAAGTAATGCAGTTTTCAATGCTTTCTTTTTGGTCAGCAACCATAACATCTTAAAATCAAAAGTAACGTTTTAAAATTTAATGGCAATTTACATGCCAGCTTAAAAGTTAGAACCAGGAGTAAATTGCAGTGTTTTCTTTCATGCTAGCACAAAATGTAGTGCTCCGCAAACACACATGCCTCATCCTGTTTGCCCATGTGATCTCCAGTGATGGTCTGATAATTACAGTTCCAGTTTATATAATCATATAAAATTTTAAAAAAAAAAAAAAAAAAAAAAAAAAAAAAAAAACACTTTGACCCGATGGTATATCCAATGGCATACTATGCAATGTCATTCTTTTTTTATATAAAGGAAAAGTAAATTATCTGGAAATACTATATGCTAGCTTTACATTTCAGTTTTCCTGAGGGAAGTGAAGATGTGCAAACCCCTCAGCTCTGGGAAATGCCAGCCTTGAATAAGATTCCACTTTTTCATTTGTAAGGTTACCAATCTCCTTGTTTGGCAACCATCCCACCTCTGAAGATCCTGCTCTCCATATCATGTACTAGCTCTGTGATGCAAACTGAAGTTTTTATTGTGTGAGGCTCAAGCAGCTGTAATCACTTCTGATGATACCAGGTCAAAATGTAGATCTCAAGATAACGTCAGGAATTAACCCAACATGACCTTAAAGCATTGCCAAAGCACCAGTAGCCAGGGAAATTCCCAGGAAGCTCTAAGAGCAGTTACTGGCATATCTGTGCCTGGAAATGGATGTGGCCTGAGCACCTAAATTAAGAGATTAGTTTTTCAGTGAGAGCTTTGTGTTGAGCAGAAATAATCCTGTGCAAGGACACAGATGATTGGGCTTCTCTGTCAGCCTTCAGCCCTTTTGCCATTACAATATCTCAGCTGATAACAAGGATGAGGGAACAAATTACCTTTTCCACCTTCTAGCTTGTACTAACATCATTGTGCTTCTGTAACGACCTAAAATAATCAATTTCTTAATATTGTTGTGATCCAGACTCAACCTTTCAACTTTTAACCAGGTTTCAAAATCTCTTCTGCTTACTAGTTCTGTGTCCCCTTGCTTTTCTCAGTCTCCCATGGGTGCATCTGTTCATACGAATTCATTTTTCCTGATGTTTCTGGGTTAATCTGCCTGGGTGCCCATTAATGTATTAAATGATCTGTGCAGAAAAAAAAGGAGCATTCAGGGTTCACGATTGCATCATTTAGATGGGAGGTGGGAGTTTCAAGAGAGGATGTTCTGTGTAACATTTTTCTTCTTTCTTGAAATTCAGCCTTTCAAACTTCACATACAAAAAAGTACATCAGGATAATGTCAGTTAGTTGCAGTGCTGAAAGCTATGTTGAATTCAGAGTGTGCCTGCCAGGCCTCCAGATTGCCCCCGCTTTTGCCAGATTTCTGCTCAATGGTTGGCTATTGGCAACATGACCACGTAAGTCTTTTTCCATAGAGTGTCAACTTGAGATTTTAAAGGTTGTAAGGATGGTTGATTCTTTAACACGGTTTAGATCTGTCATCTCCTAACTTTGGGTGGTAGACCTTGGGCAAATGTTAATTAAAATTCAGGAATGTGCAGCCAGCCCGAAGGTTGCTTCAGATTCAGTAGTGGAGAGTTGAGAGGCAGTGACAGTGTAATTGGATGCTGGAGCTGCTACAGGAAGGAGGCTTCCCATAATAATCTAGACAGCTAAATCTTTCCAATATGGTCCACATTTAGGGAGGTTTGAATGACTCCTGTTCATCGCACAGTCAGACTCTTATCATAGAATCATAGAATGCTTAGGGTTGGAAGGGACCTCTAGAGATCATCTAGTCCAACCCCCCTGCACACGCAGGGTCACCTAGAGCACGTGGCACAGGACTGCGTCCAAGCGGGTTTGGAAGATCTCCAGAGGGCTTAGATCTGGCATCTCCTAACTTAGCATGGTAGAACTTGGGCAAATTTAATGAAAATTCAGGAATGTGCAGTCAGCCCGAAGGTGCTTCAGACTCAATAGTGGAGAGTTGAGAGGCAGTGACAGTGTAATTGGATGCTGGAGCTGCTGCAGGAAGGAGGTTTCCCATAATAATTTAGACAGCCAAATCTTTCCAATATGGTCCAGATTTAGGGAGGCCCGAATGACTCTTGTTCATTGCACAGTCAGACTCTTGCTGCAATGGCTGCATTCGTTCTGCAGCCAAATAGTAATACAACAGCTAAGAGGTATGTTAAACTCTGGAAAGCACATTTTTGCCTTTCAGGATGCTTTATTCTACAGGACAACTGTACTAAACATCTATTGTAGTTATAATGGATATGAAGGCACCTGGGGAAAAATAGTAATGGGGAAGATGTATGCTTGGGTGATAGCTAAGAGATTTTTGTGCCACGCAGGAAAGCAGGGTCCCTCTTGCCTTCAGTGGGAAGCAGAAATTTAGTTCCATGCAATAGTTCTTGAAAAGTGGGGCCTGCCTTCAGGAATGAAAATGCTATTGTAACCCAGCTCTAAAGTTCGTAATATGAAGCAAAATATTAATGATACTGCCAAACACCAACACGTGTTTATTGTAGCTCATTGTACTATGCTTGACTGGGGAGTGTAATTTAAGCCTTTCCCTTTGAGTTGACATTCTGTGAGGTTGGACTCATGATCAGCATATTTAATTTCTTCTGCAGTTGAGAACAGCATTAAAATTTTCTTGGAAAAGAGCAGGACTCACTTCTGCCAGAACCATTCTACCCTGAGCTGCTGTAATTTCAGATGGTGGA